GAGAGAGAGAGAGAGAGAGAGAGAGAGAGAGAGAGAGAGAGAGAGAGAGAGAGAGAGAGAGAGCAAAGAGGGAGACGGGGTCACACAGTAGGGTAGAGTCCGAGAGTCTGGTACATACCTGAACTGCTTTGGGTTGTTGAGTGTGGTCAAGCCTTTGGTTACTCGAATTCTTTCTTGTATGATATAATAATTGAGTGAAATTCTTATGTGCGCTGATGTGTTTTCCATCTTTTGGTGTTCGTGTGAACTCTCATGTGAATGTGCTGCTTATGCATGTTGAGTTTGGGGTTGAATTCGGGGATGTTCATTGCACCATGTTCGAAATTCGATTAATTAAATTCAATCACTTAGATTCATTTTTGAGTTTTATTGTTTGATTGTTTGATTATCTCTGCATGAACAAACTTTCTGTCATTCTTGAGGACAGGGGGCGTGCACTCAACTTCTATGGACACTTTTTTCATGAAGGCATGAATGAATGGCGGACAATGGATGATCGAACAGCTGCAATCTCTGCAGAAAACCAGAGAATGAACTTGCATACTGAAAGGACGGGAGCTCTTGTAACACCGAATGGTGGGGACATGCCAACACAGACCGGTAACATGACTCTCAACCCTCGCTCTCGAAGCAGGAATGCATTAACTACATGGCGCAGAAGAACTGCTCAAGTAAATCTGACCTCTTTTCCAGGTGAGACAGACTGTTGCTGGGTAGAACCATTGAGATGATGCTCCTAATTCCTTAAAAAATCCCCTCACCTTGCTAACCAATCCTCCTCCTCCTTCTTCTTCTTCTTGCTGACCAATCCTTCTTCTTCTTCTTCGTTGTCGTCTTCTTCTTCTTCGGCGTCTTCTTCTTTCTTCCTTCTCCGTCTTCTCCTTCTTCGTCTTCTTCCTCTTTCTTCCTTCTTCTCCTCCTTCTCCTCCTCCTTCTTCTCCTTCTCCTTCTTCTCCTTCTCCTTATATTTCTCCTTCTCCTTCTCCTTCTTCTTCTTCTCCTTCTCCTTCTATTTCTCCTTCTCCTTCTCCTTCTCCTTCTCCTTCTCCTTCTCCTTCTCCTTCGCGTTTTTCCTTCTTCGCCTTCTCCTCCTCCTTCTTCCTCTTCCTCTTCCTCCTCTTCCTTCCTCTTCCTCCTCTTCCTCCTTCTTCCTCTTTCTTCCTCTTCTTCCTCTTCTTCTTCTTCTTCTTCTTCTTCTTCTTCTTCTTCTTCTTCTTCTTCACCCTTCCAATTTCTTGCTCTTCTTCTTCTTCTTCTTCTTCTTCTTCTACGTCTTCTTCTTCTTCTTCAGTTGTTTCCAGGTGAGGCAGACTGTTGCTGAGTAGCATTATTGAGATGCTGCTGCTGATTCCTTAAAAAATCCCCTCACCTTGCTAACCAATCCTCCTCCTTCTTCTTCTTCTTCTTGCTGACCAATCCTTCTTCTTCTTCTTCTTCTTCTTCTTCTTCTTCTTCTTCTTCTTCTTCCTCTTCTTCTTCTTCTTCTTCCTCTTCTTCCTCCTCCTCCTCCTCTTCCTCCTCCTCCTTCCAATTTCTTCTTCTTCTTCTTCTTCTTCTTCTTCTTCTTCTTCTTCTTCTTCTTCTTCTTCTTCTTCTTCTTCTTCTTCTTCTTCTTCTTCTTCTTCTT